CGGGCCCCGCACCGGGTGTCCGGGTGTGAGACGGGCAGGAGGTGCCTGCCCGACGCGGGACAAGGGTCCCTTGCATCCTCTGAGCAAACCCGCGCCGCCAGCCCTCGAGCGAAGGGGACCAGGTGGGAGGACACTGCCACGGGCACAGCCATTGCGCTCTGGGTTTGGGAGCACCGTTCCTGCGTGGGGCTACGTTGGCTGTGCCTGGCCCATGTCCAGAAGATGCCACCGCAACGCACCAGCCCGAAAGGCATCCAGCGGGACCACCTGCCCTGTGGCAGTACTTGTACCTCTGCTGAGGGCGGGCTGGAGAGGACACATGCTGCCAGAGTCCGGAGCACCAAACAGCCCGTCTCCTGCAGGCACCAGGAGGGGTTTTCAGCCCGGGGCTGCGCAGAGACGGAGCCATTTCCCTTCAACACTTGCAGGCTGCGACTCACGGGCCAGAGGCCCAAGCGCTCTGCTTTAACTTCATTGGGTGGTAGCCTAACCAAGTCCCCTGAAAAGAAAAGAAATGCCCTAAACTGAGCGGCAAAGCCCTCGGTGCTGACTGGCATGAGGCAAAAGGCTGCTTGGAGGATACGCAGGAGACTGGGCAAAAAGCTGCCGGGGCACCGCCCTGGCTCAGTGAGCTCCTGCCCCGGCCTTGGCTGGAGGAGCTGAGCATTAATCTGATGCAGATCCATCACTCTTCCGCTGCTGCCTTTGTGAGCTGCTTCTAGCGTGGTTTCAGAGGGTGCCTCGTACTTCTCCTTCACGCCAGCAGCTGTCACAGCAGGAGGTTTTACTGCGGTGTAGTCACTTGCCAGAGAAGGGCTGTCCCTGCGCCCGCGGCACTGCCAGTGCTGCCGAAAGGCGCGTGGCAGGTGGGCGAGAGTCCCCCCACAAAGAGATGAGCACACAGGCTCTCCAGGTGAGCAAAAAGCACAAGATGCCTGTGGCTGGACCACGTGATGTCCCACAGCGAGCTCCCGCTGACCACAGAGAGGAAACTGATACTCGCAGGAGCCTGGAAATTCATTACCATGTGCACTCTGCAGAGGGAAATAAAGTCCTGGAGAGAGCAGCAGGCGCAGAAAGGGCCCTGCATCCTTTCAGCAGAGCTTGATGAGAGTCATTGTGTTCCTCAAGATATGAAGATTGGCTCCTGAGAGCAGCTGAGCAATGGATCAGGTCTGAGCCACCGCTGCAGGGTCTGGGCAGAAGGAAGCACAGAGGGACAGCTGCCCAACTTCAAGGGCCACACAGCAGGCGGTGGGAGCCAGGCCAGACACTGCTTTTCTCCACCGGCTTTGTTTCAGGTCCTGTCCTTGCACATCCCTCCAGAGAACCTCAGCCAACAAGTCCTCCCAGGGCAAAAACTTCGCCTGTAACAGATCCAACATGCTTCACACGAAACAAGGCAACTGGCAGCATTTTGAGAGGTCCCAAAGACAGAAGTCATGGAAAGGGAGGGGAAATCCAGGAAGAAAGACAGGGAAAGGACTAGCGTCAGATATCCCTAGAGGTTAAGGATTTGAACAGGAGGTGACAGAGAGAGAAACACACACTACAGAAGCAGTTGTGCTCTGGGAAGGCCTCCTCCCATGCTGTTGTCACATTTATGTCAAGCTCATCTTCTCCTCAACACTGCTTCAGCACTCCTGGCTGGAGTGTGCATCTGTACCAGAGGCCAAAAGCTCCTTACAGTTTGGATCGAAGCAGCCTCATCCACACCGGTAACAGGTAGGACACCAACTAGGAGAAGACTTGGTGCACCACTGCTCCTCTGAGACAGCCCTCAGTGGTGCCCACACGTGAGATGGGGTCTGCCACAGTCCAGACCCAGGCACCTTCCCACTGCTTTCGTGTCCAAGAGTCACGAACACAGCAACACCATCAAGCGTAGGGCTTGGTTACTCATATGGGGATGCTAACTTTCAGTCCCAGCCTCTGAAGCACACCTGGCTGACTATCTTCAACCTCCACACCCCCGTGCTCAGCAGTGGCCAAAGCCCAGGGCAAGCTTTAGGAGCCTTCACAGCACATCAGTTAGGGGCCAGGCTAGGACCTGGCCGAGACCTAAAGCAACTGTTCTCCACGTCCTTCCATAAAGGGATCACCACCACAAGGACATTGTGATAGCTCCCCCTTCTCTTTCTCATCCCAGTCACCAGTTCAAGCTGCTGTATTCAGGCCTGAAACAAGAAGGACCAAATCAGGATGAGACGGTCTCCCAGTCTCACACCTCTGCCCTTCCAGCTGGCAAGCCATGCCCTGCCTGCCCTCTTCAGTGCAGCATTGAGCTACTTCTTGCTTGACAATGGTCAGAGCTGCCTCCAAGGTTCCCAGCTTCCCCAGCGTGAATTCCGCTAGCCCACAGCCGCTAGCACAGAGAACCACTACAGCCAGCTCTGGGATCAGCTCCACCATCTCACTCGGCCAGGAAGGCACTCAGCATGGTCAGATCTCACACATGCTGCCACCGTGCTGAGCTCTGGCCAGAGCCCACGGTGGCCTGACCCATACAGAGCACAGGAGGACGGCGTACGTAAAGGTAACATTTACTGAGAGATACAGAACTGAGTATTATGAAGGACATACATGGATGGAGAGGGTAGCGACACCACCGGGAAGGGTGGCTTGGACCCCCTTCCCAGCACCCCAGGGAAGGAGCCGGACACTACCGGACAAGTAACACAATGGAGATAACTGTGGCATATGCATTTGTAACAGACAGACCATCATAACATACATTTCTATGGGATCACATCTAGTGATTATATAAATCCATATAGAGATCGCTGTATAAAAACTTTGTAAAAAATATTTTTTAAAAAGTGTAAAAATGTGCATTCAAAAGCACGGCCGACACGGACAGCTGGGCTGTAAACATTATACTGAGAGTGTGCTTGTGGGGGGCGCCTGCGCCACCGAGCCCCGACAGGCCCGGCCACCAGAACGGGACCAGT